GTTGACATGACAGACAATAATAGTAATGTCAATGAGTATCATGTAGTTGTAGGTGGTAGTAAGAAGTATGGTGGCTTAAGTTAGGTTAGTTAATTAGTATGTATGTTATAGGAAATAAAGCCTTTTATAATAGTAGTAAAGTACGACTATTTATTTTCCAAATCCACACCTTAACATTTATGTCTACCAAGTACTTCTAATATTGTTAATATGGATCAGAGAAAAAATTATTACATATCTCTAATCCAAATTTTGATGTCTCTCCAGACAAATTATTCTCAAACAGATTAAATCCTACAACTAATAATTCTTCATCCAGTAGAAGCAGCAGTTCTTCGACTAGTTCTGACAGCTCCGATAGTGCATCTGAGTCTACAGTTTCGAATATTGGAGATAATGGAGAAAAGAAAGGAAAAAAAGTCCGAAAACCTGAGAATTGGAAGACGAATGTAGCACAACAGTTACGAAACTCAGGTAAGGCATACGTTTCTATGTCTAAGTCAAAAAAAGAAATTTCAGGAAGAATGGTTCGTGAAGGTTGTGGTGAATTATGTCGTTTGAGATGTAATAATAATATTAATATCGAAGATAGGCAACGCATTTTTAATAATTATTGGGAAATGGCTGATCTTCAACGTCAAAGAGATTACATCTTACGACACATAGATGAAATCAAACCTAAGTACAGATATTCTAGCACCCAAAATTTAAGAGCACTGAATAAGGCATATTTTTTTGAAGTGAACGATACTCGTATACGGGTTTGATTAGAACGACAGGCCAATTGATACAGCGCTTACTAAGAAAACTAATTCAGGAATTGTTCAAGAGGTACTTAGAGGCAAACATAACAATCACCCCCACTGTTGGCTCTGATATTATAAATAGTGTTATAGAATTTATAAATGATATTCCGAGATCACATTATTTAAGAGCTTAGACATTACGTGAATTCATACAGTCCGACAAATCATTATCAGATTTGTATAGAGACTATAAATTTACTCGTGAAAAAGATAACTTGCCCTTTCCTTCCCAAACAACTTTTAATCGTATCTTTCACAGAGAATTTAACATATCTTCTTATATTCCTAAGAAATATCTCTGTGATTTGTAGGAAAGTTATAAAAATGCTGAAGTAAACGATAAACAAAAGTTACTTGAAAATTATGAAAATAATCTACAAGACAACAATTGGCAAGAAGAGAGAAAGAAAACGACCAAAATAGGACTGATGTTAAAGTAGCTGTATACTATTTGCAAGCAGTGATGCCTGTTCCTAAAGGCCAAGTGTCATTATTCTTTTATAAATCCAGAATAAACTGTTTCAACTTTAATGAAACTGTATTTTTGGGATGAAACAGAAGGTAAACGTGGTGCAACAGAAATTGGAAGCTGTGTACTTGCTTATATACAAAATTTAATAGCTGATAATCATAATGAAGGTAAAAATTTAGATATCATTTTTTACTCTGATAATAGTAATAAAATAATTTTAAAATTAAAATATGACTTTAATAATTACTTTTTCTGAAAGTTTCTTATCTATTTCACTAAAAAACTACAGTTTTGTGTTATGATTCACGTTGACAAATTTAGATTAAAAGCGTTGCATCTTAATTTAATTGCAATAAAAGTGAATTAATTCAAAATAATTTTGAAATCATGACGGTTTTCATTTTTCGAAAGTGTAATAAGTCAAAAAATCTCACTTATTTCTATTAAAAATGCAAGATTAATACTCATGTGATACCAAAATACTTCGTAAACCAATGTGCTTCCAATATGATTTACAAAAGCTTTTAAATCTTTTATTATATTGAGTAGATTCGATTTTTTCAATTTGTCGAAAAAGTGGTTTTTTGAGTTACTACACTTTTAATATAGGTGTGCGATATATCAATGATGTGTCAATCTATACGTCCATGTGTGACAATAGTTGCCGAGTTTTATTACAGTGAATACTAGGCAACCAGTTATATTTGTTACCTTTATGTGACATCTAGGAAGTAATGTCTAAACTTACAAGGAAATTAAAATAGTTTTGTTAGTTTAAGTATAGATGTCACCACGATGTTGTTAATTAAAATGATCAGGTTACATTTTGTAAATTAAAATATAAATAATTTAAAATACAACTGTTTTAATATTAGTAATATTTCTTATTCAAACTTTTTACACTCACAGAATTGTAATGTAATGTAATTAGTAATATCATTTTTTAAATATTGCACTAAAGTTGGTGACATCTAATTGTATTGCTCAAATTTTTAAAAATCAAACTAGCGCTCTCGCCAAATATTAAACTGACAAAAACGCTCTCACCAAAATTGTAAATGTCATTAATGTGAATAAATTGTATGAAAAGAAATGAAAGTTTTTTAAGTGTTTCTTTCTTCTCATATACTCTTTCAACTCTTCTGCTCTACCTGTCTTTAGCAATTTCTTTTGTGCTAGATATTTTTCCGTGGTTGCTATTTCGCAGTCTTCGTCGCACCATTATCCTATTAAACTTCTGCCGCTATCGAAATGTGACCTTTTATTTCTTTCCACGTTTCTTCAATATTAGGGTTTGAGACTTTTCAATTTTCTTCCTTCTCTTTAGAATAATTTTTCTGAATAATATCCAACTCTAGTTTCCCTATATTCTACTTTTTTCTTTTTGTGCATTACTTTATCTCGTTAATTATTTTTATTTCCATAGTTCCTATTACCGGAAGTGGTCAGAATCTGCATTTGCACCCCGATATGACCTGACATCTTGAATTGTGCTTCTCCCATTTTTTGAAATATGATCGTTAAAATCGCCTAAACTCGGTTTCATTGTTCTTGGCGTGTGCCTGAAATGAGCTACTACGGAATTTTTAATACTCGTCTCTCTCTGATACACAGATGCGTAATTCAATTGTGCAAGTAACGTTCGTCATGGTAAAGTGCGATGAGAAGGGAATGAAGAGACCACTCACGTCTCCCAGTATTGTAGCAATAACACCGATGCGTTTGGCCGATACGGTGTCGGTGATACGTTCGGCCTCTACGTATACAGATAGCTGCCACTGGAGGGGGTAAACGAATCGAGGTTAGACAAGGAAAGACAGATGAAACAACTTATTGCAAGTGTTTTTACACGCACATGCCAAGAAAGATGAAAACGTCTGTAGTAAAATTAATACAACATTCTTAAGTATATCTTCGTATATCTCTTTTCTTCTTCTTTGGCATTCTCAGTCGGGGCATATGCATTAAATGGATGTTAAATTAGATAGTTTGTTCTGACATAATATATTCTTCCACATATAACTTTAAAATCTATCACCTTCTCCCTTATTTTACTGCTAATTAGGAAAGCATTATGACCCTGTTTGGTATTTCCAGAATAAAACATTGTGTACATCTTTGTTTTTTACTATTTACCCCTTGATCTTTCCATCGAATTTCTTGTAACACTAAGATTTCGATATTGTACTTTTCCATCTCCCTCACCAGTTCTTCAACTCTTTACTCTTCTTATTTTTGTTCCTTTAAGATATTTGGACTCTTTCATTATATGTTTTCATATTTTCACTCCTCATTATAGGTCTGTTTTTCATTCTTTGGCCATACTGCTTTCTTATTCTTTTTATGCGCACAATAAGTGCTGAAACACTCACTATGACAAAAAAGAAAGCAGTTGCAAAAAAAATAGGGAGGCCTACGATCAGCAATGAACAATTTATGTTTTTTTTTTAATAGATAAAGATAAGTTCTCTGTGGTGGTCACAAAATTTAGTCTATGCTTTTTTTGATCAACCTAATTTTTGTCAAAACAGTTTTTTTTATTTTCTAACTAGAATATTTAAAGTATGATGTATCTGTATTCTTTTTCTTAGGGTGCCTGTCCGTTCCGAACGTTGGCGATCATTCTGGCAATGTGACTTTGTTGGTTGCTATACGGAATAGCTGTGTTGAGGTCTTTCTATCACATGTTCTCAGGTTAGCAAGCCAGGATATTTTTCTTCTTCCTGGGGCCCTTTTTCCTTCAATTTTACCTTGCAAGATGCATTGGAGTAGCTCGTATATGCCTTGATTTCTCATTATATGTCCCAAGTACTACAGCTTACGGCCCTTCACGATGTTGATCGAAACCGCGGTTGTGTTCATCCTTCGCATTACTTCTTCATTGGTGACTTTGTCTGTCCATGGTATCTTCAGAATTGTTCTCTAAAACCATAGCTCAAAAGCCTGAAGTTTTGATAGAGTTTCCGTCTTCAATGTCTACGTTTCTACTCTGTACAGAAGCTCTGAGTACACGTAACATTTAAGGAGCCTTATTTTTGTTTCTAGAGGAGGTCATGGCTCTTGAACATGGAGCTCATAGTCAAGAATGCACTTTTTGCCTTTCCGATGTGACATTTAATCTCTTGGGTATTGTCCCACGACTCATTGATTATAGTTCCCAAGTAGTTGTACTGTGAGACATGTTCAATTCTCATTGCTTCAGTTATGTTATCCTTTCTGATGATCATTAGCTTGTATTTAGCTGGTGTTTATATCCAGTCCATATGTGCTACTTGTTTCCGTTATTTTGTTCATTAAGTTTTGCCGCCCTTTTATGGTATTAGAAAACACTATTATATCATCTGCATACCGCAGGTAATTGAGCTTGACTCTATTTATTGAGATGTCTTCATCAATATCTTTGAGAGCCTCTTCAGAAATGTGCTCCGAGTACAGATTGATTATCGGTGGTGAAATTATGCACCCCTGCCTCACTCCCCTTAAGATTTTGACCTGCATCGGTATTAAGGTAGTTCAACTAGACAGACAATTATTAAAAAGTATTTATTGATATAAAAAATATTTGCTAAAATTATTTGTCATACAATACATAAAACTCTTATTCTGAGCGACAATTTGAGATCTTTATATAAAAACTTAATATAAAACTTTGTAACATTTGAACAAAATATCACATTTTACAACAAAATTTACAATAACTATGTACAATTTAACAAAAACTGCTAACTCTTCGGTTTAAACCTCGACATGTAAAATTCACAGTCTTGGCAGTATAAATTGGAAGCAGCTACATTCTTTTTCCTACACAAATTACATTTAGTTTTGTCTGTAGGTACACTATTATTGGCATTGTTCACTATAATTGGCGTAACTACTGCCCAAGGTGTAGGAGATTCAGCACCTTTAGTTCCAGGCTCAAAACTAACAGTCTTCTTTAGATTTTTAGGCTGCGGTACATACTGATAGGGGGATGATTTATTTACCTCTTCTGGATGATAGGGTGGTACTCGTTGATAGGGATCCGTGGATACTCGTTGATATGCGCCATTTTGATGATCGTATTCAGTTGGAACCCTCTGGTAGATACTATGATGTTCTGAAGGGGGAGGTACTCTCTGGTATGGCGAATTTTGAGAGTAAGCCTCATTTGGATACCTTGGATAGTTATCAGGTACTCTCTGATAATACTGATCATATCCATTTCTAACGTATTGATTATAGTTTTGTGGCATTGGAGGGGATTGATAAGGGGAATGGGTATTCACTGGGCTAGGATTGGTTACTCTCTGCCCTGGACGAACTGCATGGGCATACTGTGGAGATTTCGTATTATTATAACTATAGTATGCAGCATATGCTGCTGAATTTGGAGGAATTGGTTGGTATGGAGATTGTCTGGCAGGATTTGAGTATTGAGCAACACTAGCACTAACATACTGTTGTTCTTCAGATCCATTTTGTTGATAATGATAAGGGATATGAGAGTTGTCGTGATATGGTTCTGCTGTATAAACAGATCTGTTATGTGGATTATTTTGAGAATTTTGCCTATTAAGCTGTGGATGTTCATTTTGCACAATTTGCCTTTGTACTTGTGGAAGATCACTTTGGCTAATCTGCCTTTGTATTTGTGAATGATCGTTTTGAACCATTTGTCTTTGTACTTGTGGATGATCATTTTGGGGCATTTGTCTATGAATATGTAAATTATCGTCTTGAGAATTTTGTCTATACAATTGTGGTTCGTTTTGTGAGTTCTGCCTGTGAAGTTGTGAATGATTGGGCAAAGTTGGTCTGATGTGTTGCGGTATTTCGTTTGGGGGATGCTGTCTTTGAAGCTGAGGTGAATTTTGTACAGTATGCTGTTGCATATGAGTATTTTGAGGTTGTTGATTCAACATTGGTTGAGGAGATTGTCGATATCCTTCAGGTACTGGTTTGGGAACATCATTCAACGGTCTTCTGTCGTAAACAGGCAGATTCTGCACTGAAGCTTCTTCTTTTTTAAGTTCATTTTCCCTAAGGGATATAATTTCCTGACGTATGGCTGCAGTCTCGGGTTTATTCATAGCTGTTCTTAGAACTCTTTCCAAAATTGGATTTGGAATAAAACTGTCATCTTCTTGTTCATCAGCAGTGGCTACAAGTATGACTTGATCACAAAAAGATACACTTTTCTTCTTTGATAATCTCCTACGATTATCTTCATTTACCCCGGGATCAGACTGCTGATTTAGCGTTTTCTGTACAACAGCATTTAACATCTCAACTTCTCTTAATTCCTCAGCAATTTGTTCGGGTGCTATGGATTCAATTTCATCTCTTTTCTTCATGGATAGCACTCCGTTATTATCATTTTTGACTGGATCTAGTTTACTTGCTTCAAATCTTGAAGCTAAATCCTTAACTGATTGCTTATTTTCACCTGGAGCATATCTGATTGTATTTACAACATCTATGCCTTCACTTGGTTGATCTGAATGGGTCTTTTTGTTTCTTAAAGCTGCTTGTTTAGCCTGTAACTCTTTTAACCACGTTTCTCCTGAAGATTTTGGGGCTACATCAGCGACACGAATTTCAAAATCATGAGACAAAATTTGCTGCCTTTTATTCTGAAGTTGTGTCAGAAGTGTACTGGGTTGAACTACTTGTTGTAAGTGTTCATCTAAAGCGGAGAGGTCCAAAGGTGAAGGTGGTGGAGGAAAATCTTCACTGGCTTGTCTTGAATGGACTGCAGAGCTCAAAGGACTTGGGTAAGGTGGCAGATCTAAACTCGGAGTTGTAGTATGAGTAGGAATACAGTCAACTTCATCTACACCGCTGTCTCCATTATAACTTCGCGAAGATTCTTGGTGGACGTCAGCTCTCGTAATAACTGTATTACTACTGTTAGAAAAGCTTTCATCGCTAAACGACCCATCTTTATAATACGGTAAGGATACAGGAGCTTGATAACGATAATGATCTTGATGTTGGTAATATAAATCTTGTTGTTGTTGCTGGCTCTCTTCACTGACTTCTGCTCCGTTTAACTTAGATGTACTAAGCTGGGAAGTAGTTCTGAGAGGAGGAGGTGGTGGCACCTTGGCCATTGTTAGAATTTTACCGGCACTTCCATGAAAACTTTTTCGCATTAACTTGCTTCTCTCAAGGTTTGGATTTGGGTTGTTCCCAGCAAATTCTAAGTGGCCTTCTGACAGGTAGCCATTCATACTGGTTGGATTTTCCAAAGAACCTAAAAAAGAATTGAAGTATTAGTAATTTCTCGAATAATTATTTTTAAAATAATGTGTTTATAATTATATTGGGCCATTATAGTTTTAATAGTAACATGCTATATTTGATGTAAAACGACAGTCGGTAAACGACTCAGGAATCACATACACATCTCAAAGCACCTATAAATAAGTACCATACAATAATATTGCAATATTCACAAAAATCATCATTCCCTTTGCTTTTTGCACCGAGAGCCAATAGACCTTGTGTCATGGTGGTCATGCATGATCGTGATTAATTGTAAGTGGTGAGCACGACTTTTAACAAATGTCTTCACAGAGGAGAAGTCCCAGATGATTGGAATGAAAGTTTGACAACACTTGTCTTTAAAAAAGGGGACAGGGGAGATCTGAAGAACTATAGGCCAATCTTCCTGCTGTCCCAAATGTACAAACTGTTTATGAAAGTAATAACTAACAGGTTAACGTCGAAGCTCGATAGCTATCAACCGGTAGAGCAGGCAGGATTCCGAAAGGGTTACAGTACAGCGGATCATCTTCTTACAGTCAGAACTCTACTAGAGAAAGCCAATATCACTTAAGCTCATACATTGGCTTCGTTGGTTATGAAAAGGCATTCGACTCCATAGAACTTTGGGCAATAGAGAGAGCTATAAACAACGGCAGGATAGACTACCGATACAGAATACTCATACATAATATTTACAAGAAAGCTACAATGAAAATACAAATAGATGCGAAAACCAAAGCTATACCAATCAACAGAAGAGTTCGCCACGGAGATGTTACCACCACGTTTTACCAAAGCTATTCACATTTGGACTGGAAGACGTGTTCAAAGACATTAACTGGACAGATAAAGGAATAAATGTTAATGGAAGAAAACTGAGTCATTTAAGATAAGCTGATGACATTGTAATATTCGCTACAGGTTTCGAAAAACTACAGACCATGATGATGCAAATATTTCAAGCTTCAGAAAAAGTAGGTCTTAAGATAAACTTGGAAAAAAAAATAAAAAATAATGACAAATACACCGAACATTGGAGAAATAATGTTTGAACGACATAAATTTAGAAACAGTAAGCGAATACATCTACCTGGGACAGATAATCAAAGTTAACAAAGAAAATCAAACTGCCGAAATTACCAGAAGAATGTGGCAGGATTTGGAAAACTGAGTTGGATCTTGCAAAGCACTAACATAGAACAAAATTTGAAAACCACAATATACGATCAGTGTATCCTCCCTTATACTTACGTATGGTTCACAGACGTGGAAACTCACCAAGTCTAATATGGATAAAATAGTAAAAGCACAAAGAGCGATGGAAAGATCAATGCTTGGGGTGAGACTTATAGACAAAAAAACAAACAAATGGATTAGAAGCAAAACCAAAGTAAAAGACGCAGGAGAACATGCTGCCAAATTAAAATGGAGCTTCGCAGGACACACACTGAAGGATAAGAGATGGAACCACGAAATACAACAATGGAAACCATGGTTAGAAAAGAGAAGCAGAGGAAGACCACAAATGAGATGGGCGGATGATATTAAGAAGATCGGAGGTCACAACTGGAAGCAAGTAGCGCAAAATAGAAGACACTGGATTGATTTGGGGGAGACCTATGTCCAAAGTTGGATTACTCAAGACTGAAAAAGAAGAAGTGCACGACTTAGTGGAAGCTAAGTAGGCTCCAGTATGTTACAAACGATACTTACAAAGATTAAAAGAAACAATTGAAAAGTGGTCACGAAAATCGCGATAATTAAAGCTCAGCAAGAACCAAAAGAGGTCCAGAGAACGAGCATAAGGGCCGCAGCAAGGAAAATGATCTTTCAGGCTCGTGACGCGGCATAGTAGGTCAAACGACCGTTTTATCCACAATTTACAAATTCTCTTTATCTTTCTCCCTACGCGGGGTAAGTGATTCACACAAAAATTTACCTACCAAAAATTTCTAGAAGACAATGATATTTTTTTAACAAATATAAAACAGAAAAAAGACTGAATGTCTTAGGCAAGATATAGATACTGATAGTCCAATAATTTGATGCTACCAAAAAGTGGGAAAAGAAGTTGGTATCAGTAGTATTGAAAAATATGAGCTCACGAAAAAGTGTAAAATTAACTTTGGCTCAATCCTCTGTGGATCCTGGCCTGCTTTAAGTTTCGTCGCCATTCTGTTCGGTTTTTGGCGACGTCTAGCCATCTTCTAATCTTTAATATCCCTAAATCTGTCTTAACTCCATCTAACCACCCAATTCGCGGTAGGCCTCTGCTTCTCCTTCCTATAGGTATTCCTATCATTAGCTTTTTAGCAACCATATTGTCAGGCATTCGTATTATGTGTCCAGCCCATCTATGTCGCTGTATTTTAATGAATGTTGCAACATTTGGTTCATTAAAGAATTGGTATAATTGGAAATTATGGAAACAGTGTATGTTATACTCAAATATATGTACGATTTAGACACTATTTTGACTGCGTTCATAATAAAATCAATTCTTATTAAGTATAGATCAAATTAATAAAAAGAAAACTAACAAAGAATAGGAGAAAAAAATTAAAATAAATATATTTACCTTTTAAGCCTACGCTACTATCATCCACAGTAACAGTCGGAGCCTTGGCCGACGATTCAACCTCAGAAGTCGTATCAGTCAAATCTGGCATGCTTCTGTTTTTGCGTTTTATCAATCCTCCCATTAAAAGCTTCCTTCGTATTTTGTGTTGCTTCTTTGCTTTTCCGTCTTTATCTTTTTTGTCTTCTTCTTTCTCCTTGGCCTTTTTTAGGGTATCCTTACCATTAATAATCTCTGGTGCTATTGAGAAATCTGCTCTGGATAATTTATTTCTGTCTTCACTACGGGAACGTTTTTCCCTACCTTTTTGATCTTTATTTTTGTTTCTTGAAAATATTGATCTTGATTCTCGAACAGGAGGTTTATCATATAACATGTATTCTTCATCTTCTACAGTGGTGTTAGATAATTTTGCTTTTAAAGCATCTTTCTTTTTTGGCAGAGTAGCATAAATCTCTATGCTTTTGGTAGGTTGGTGCTTTTCTTTCTCTGGAACTAGCAGTTCTCTGCTATTTTGTCGTGAGTGGTTACTTTTATCTCTAGAATTTTGCCTAGAATGTCTTCCACTCCCACTGCTGCCTTCTCTTGTATGTCTAATTTCTGGTGGAACATCTTTGCTAGTTGGATTAGGCACTTGAGTCATTCTCCTATGGAGACTTCTGGCTCTCATTATACAAGTATTATGCTTCATGCGAGCTAAAGTCAATGTCTGTGGATTATTGTATGGGGCATTCATAGCTGCTCGCGCCTTTGTAGCAGCTGCATTACAGAGAGCTAAGGCGAGAACCAAATCATGTTCGTCTTCTAATTGACGAGATTTCACCAGCAATTCGTCTGCTTCATCACAGAGGACATCACAACTTGGAGAATTCTGATTCAGACTAAGATTGTTGTAATCCTCGGGTATCTTGGCTAGATGTCCCATTTTCATCAAATGTTGTAAAGTAGTAACAGTTGAGCTGTCATTGGACGATAAAGAATAAGAATCATATCCTGCATCATACACTCCACTGCTACTACTGGAGTAATCAGTCTTGATTCTGGTGGGACTGCCAGGAACACTTCCACCATTGCTTGGTACCTTGCCAACTAAGTAAAGATAAGGATTTTCCATTGTTGTCGAAGAAGCAGAAGAAGCACTGTTGCGATCGCCACTCCAATTTCCACTATCTCGTCTTCTAGGTACGTTTAGATGATCTGGGATATTAATTCCTTCCATTCCAGATGAGGAACCATTACTTAATGTTCTATGCACTTGAGGTTTTCCAAAATCCAATGATTTTCGGGTGACATACTCTGGATCTTTTCTTGTAATACAACCATCGACTACATCGACATCTTGGCACTGGGAGATATTATTCTGAATCACCGCTAAATTCTGATAGTCATTGTAAGGTCGGGGTAATGGAGGTTTTTGATTTATCCCTGAACCATCTGGATTCGGAGTTATGGCACGTCGAGTAGTTCCGATCATGGGTTTTTCTGGACTTGGTGTTACAGATCGACGGATGACAGATTGTGGCGGTTTCTTGTTTACTTTGTCGGCGAATAATGGGGTAATCTGCTTTGGAGCATTATCTGTATTTACTGGAGTTCCATCCGGTAGAGCGTAGAGGAGCAGCAGTGGTTGATACCTAAAAAAATAAGAGTTAAAGAGATTTTTGTAGAAAGTAAAGGTACAATAATTGAAAAGAAAAAGCTGTAAGTTCTATTGTATGTATAATGTGACAACTATAATGTAACAAAGATGACAATTATAATGAGACAAAGAAACCAACGACTATATAGTATTCATTGATCTTGTGAAAGCATATGATAGAGTTCCTCGAGAGATTCTGTGATGGGCGCTAAATAAGAAAGGGTTTGCCGGTGAATGTGTAAATATTGTGAAAGACGTGTATAAGGGAGTAACAACTAGTATTACGGAGAGACCGTTGCTCAATGCTTAGGCCTTAGGTATTCTCATTAGTGTTGGATCAGATAACAGCGACACTACAGGATAAAGATAAACTCTTGAGGACAAAGGTTTAAAACTTAGTAGAACACGAACAGTATTTTGAATGTTCATTTAAAGATGGATTTACTACAAATAAAATGGTAGCTTTAGATGGTGAAACGTAATAGTAATAGCTAAGTACCTAGAATCGGTATTACAGAGTGATGGTAAAATAGATGGAGATGCATGCATGGAAGAAAGCAAGTGGTTTGTTGTGTGACAAAAAGGGAAGGAAAAATTCTATAAAACTACCACAAGACCAGCTATGATGTACGGAACTGAATGTTGGGTAGTAAAGGCAAACAGAGTGATGATGAATGTGACACTTCTCAAAGGAGATATTAATTACTATTAAACTGGAAATAAGCCACAATTAAAGATAAAAATACGTTTATTGACGTTTCAATTTCCACTTCGGAAATCGTTCTCAAAATACAAACAGTAAATTAAACAAATTTTGTTTTTTGTTACATAGTGAAAAATTCTTCTAATAATTTAATTTTATCTGACTCATTTATATTGACAATTCAGACATACATTATGCATTTTAAAGTAGACGACTTTAAAATGATATTGCCAATATTGTTGAGTTGCGCTCCTGGGACGACTTTACTTATAAGATAGTTCATTCGATTACATGAAATCAACTTTAACTTGAGAATATCCGTCAGAAAAAATCATAGCATGTAATTTGTCTTTAAAAAGACAAACACATGACATGATGACAGTAAAATTCTCCTGTTAGTGATTCCATAGTAAATTATGAGGGAAAAACCAGGAAGAAAACCTCATAATACTATCCCGACATTGTAAGTATTTGTTCGTGAATTTAGTTTACCTTCAACAAACATCAAAATTCTGATTTTATATGTTATGTTATTTAAAAAACATAAATTATGTATCCTCTATATGTTACTGACTTACTAATACTGGTATTTTCTTATTAATAACTTCCTCTTTTAATATTGGTAACCAGATCCTACTACATTCTGCCGAGGAATTTGCGACACAATTGGCCTCATTTAGCATAATTAGAGCCGCTTCTTTGATTTTTCTTTTTTTACCATCCCTTTCTTTTAGGACCACATTTGAATTATTCCATTGAACCCTATGTTCATTATCCCATGCGTGTTTACAGATTTGAGATCTATCAAATTCTCTATTTTTAATATAAGATTGACGTTCACTTATTGTAACATTTAATGGCCTTGATGATTCAACTAAATAAAACTGATCGCATTCACAAGGTATTTTATAAATGCAATTCTTTGTCCTTTCTTGTTCATTGTTAGGTTTGGTTTTGGACAAAATAGATCTCAACGTGTTTGTTGTTTTGAATGTTGTTGAAATGTTGAATTTATTTCCTATCCTTTTAAGTTTTTCTGATAGTCCTTTTATGTACGGTATTGTTATTTTCCTCATATTATTCCTTGTGTATGCTGTAGGATCTAGTTCTAAGTTGTTCTGTTCTATTCGATCGATTGTTGAAATAACTTAAAATAACTTAAAAGGATAGGAAATAAATTTAACATGTCAACAACATTCAAAACAACAAACACGTTGAGATCTATTTTGTCCAAAACCAAACCTAACAATGAACAAGAAAGGACAAAGAATTGCATTTATAAAATACCTTGTGAATGCGATCAGTTTTATTTAGATGAATCATCAAGGCCATTAAATGTTAGAATAAGTGAACATCAATCTTATATTAAAAATAGAGAATTTGATAGATCTCAAATCTGTAAACACGCATGGGATAATGAACATAGGGTTCAATGGAATAATTCAAATGTAGTCCTAAAAGAAAGGGATGGTAAAAAAAGAAAAATCAAAGAAGCGGCTCTAATTATGCTAAATGAGGCCAATTGTGTCGCAAATTCCTCGGCAGAATGTAGTAAGATCTGGTTACCAATATTAAAAGAGGAAGTTATTAATAAGAAAATACCAGTATTAGTAAGTCAGTAACATATAGAGGATACATCATTTATGTTTTTTAAATAACGTAACATATAAAATCAGAATTTTGATGTTTGTTGAAGGTAAACTAAATTCACGAACAAATACTTACAATGTCGGGATAGTATTATGAGGTTTTTTTCCTGGTTTTTCCCTCATAATTTAGTATGGAATCACTAACAGAAGAATTTTACTGTCATCATGTCATGTGTTTGTCTTTTTAAAGACGAATTACATGCTATGATTTTTTTCTGACGGATATTCTCAAGTTAAAGTTGATTTCATGTAATCGAATGAACTATCTTATAAGTAAAGTCGTCCCAGGAGCGCAACTCAACAATATTGGCAATATCATTTTAAAGTCGTCTACTTTAGTAGAGTATGGGCCGCTTGGGGCACCCCCCACCACTCCCACTCTGACGTCACACGGTTGCAAATGCCAAACGGCTTAACGTAGGATGACGTACGAGGGCTCGTTGGAAAGAGGATGAAAAATGGGGTTGAATGAAATATGTGCCGTGCGCATCGGAGCATGCCAAAAGATCGTTACATCATATCTTTGTTTCTATTGGTCCGATTGTAACGTACGAGGGGCTCGTTGGAACGGGAAGGAGGTAACGAATACGTTGAGACAAAAAACAAAGATGGCGGCGTTGCCAAAGGGGACGCTAAAACGTATCTTCGTTGCTATTGGTTCGATCGTGACGTACGAGGCCTCGATGGAACGGGGAGAAGGTGGGGAGACAAAAAAAACAAAGATGGCGGCGTTGCCAAATGGGCGCTAAAACGTGTCTTCATTGCTATTGGTCTGATTTTGACGTATGAGGTGTCAAAGCGTTGGTGAGACACAGAAGCCATGTACAAGCTCGAACATTCTTCTTCTTGTACATACAGTGCCTAAGAGAACGTCGACACAGAACGTGGTAGAACGTGAAATGTTGCTTGAATAACGTGACATTCGACATGTATTTGCGACACAAAACAAACATGCATTTACTGTTCATCGTAGCAGGAAGAACAGGGTGATAGAGCTCAACGTATAATAATGTGTGACATATCGATGGGAAGGGGATGTGGTAACGATTATGTTAAGATAAAAAGTAAGCGGTAAGACAATGCCAAAACAGACGGTTGTGTGTGAGGTGTTGATGGGGAAGGGGACGTGGTAACGAATATGTTAAGATAAAAAGCAAACGCAAAGACAATACCAAAACGAACGGATCGTGATGTGTGAGGTGTTGATGAAAAGGGAGGTGGTAACAAATATGTTAAGACAAAAAGCAAACGCAAAGGCCGTGCCAAACGACGCTATGTCGTACCTCTGTTGTTATTAGTCAGATTACTACGTGTAACGTTAAATGAAAAGAAGAGGTGACGGGGAAATATGTTAAGACAAAAGACAATGACCAAAAAACGCCGTTATATCGGATTTCCGTTTAGCATAATAGACATTGAAAGAAAGTGGCGCTAACAGAGAATCATCGCCGAAACGTTTCTATATCAAATATTTGACATAGTTTGAATGGGGTTCCACATACAGTTGATCAACTCGTCACGCCACCTGTCGACTACATCTAGCAGCTGACATCGTAAAAAAAAAGACACTCCTTCAGTCTATCTCTCGCTCCCGTGAAACAATGCATAAAAGGTGAGGTGTGCAATTATTCGAATCATCTATCATAATTTAGAACGTACATAATAGAAAAAATGTAAAAGACAAAATTAAAAAAAAAGGCAAGGTCTATACAGATGTTACAGAATAAAGTACTTTATTGTTTACAGAATAAAAAACCAATAAAATAATTTTTATTATAATTAACGTAAAGTTTAAATGTTTATTCATTATCGTCATCTTCACCATCTTTATGATCTTCATCATTAAAATCTTCATCATAACCAACATCATTATAGTCCTCATTATCGTCATCTTCACCATTAAAATCGTCATCATAATCAGCATCATTATAGTCCTCATTATCGTCATCTGCACCCTCCTCATGATCTTCACCACTAAAATAGTCATCATAATCATCATCAATATAATCATAACCATCATCGCTTCTTATACCTAAAACCCACAACCACTGCACAATATCGTTATGCCAGAGGGGTTTATGGTTGTTATGGTCGACCCCAGTGTTATTGATAGAGGTCCTTATACCAGGGTAAGTGATCTGAAACACGATACATAGATAGATTGTAATAGATGAAAAGAATGATAAATAGTAAAATCAAAAGATGACAGCATAGCATAAGGATCTAAATAGCGTAATTTGAGGATGTATATGGCATATCGTCGTAAAGAGGAGAAAGTGATGTGAATGACGTGACATTAGACGTAGAATGTGACGTTCAACGCAGAACGAGACACATCGATGCAAAGCAAAGAAAATGACGCTAAAAATTTAGAGCAAAGAAAATAATGAGCGTGTTGGTTTCCAAGGCACCCGTGAGCACCGTTGACACCCCCCCCCCCCCAAGAGGCCAACAACCAATAAGATTCCTCAGAGAAATCAAACATGAAATAGATAATGAAGAACAAGCGATTGTTTGTCCCACATTCGAGTGAGTAACGAGCAAAGTTGCAATGATGTTACAAAGTCTGAAATCTTTTAATATATATTTTAAAACATAGGAAATGGTTCAGCAGACATCTTTTTATGATCTGATGGCCATCTT